GAAACATTCTGAAAGCAAAGTAAAAGAGAGTGACAAAACCTAGAAAAAGTTTATCTTTACTCCGGGCAATATCTTAAAGCGGCTAAAACATTCCTAAAAAACTATGAAAACGAAGTGGGGTTTGGGTGTGTGACAGTTTAGTTTCTTTCATTTTAATTTGCCTTCCTCGTGTTTTTCTTGGCTCTTGCAGCGGAATTAAGCCTTAGACAGAGTTGGAGAAGGTGGTGTAATAAGTTGGAACGATTTTGCATATGATTGGGGAGGGGGCTTTGTGATAACAGGTGTGAAAGCGAACAGGTGACAAATGTGGCAAAAGCTGGAAATGATCAAATTCACCGAGACTTACCTCTACACAGTACTCTACTCCTGGATGGGCTCCCACGCAAGGGCAAAACACTTCACCGCCAGCGTCATCAGCTGAAAAAGAAATAAATTCATAGGAAAAAATTCACAAGTACATATCTTAATTGGATTTACGGGAGAGATAAATGGCAGACACTCGTAGGAAGGGGGGGGGGTACCTTAACATGTTTGATGGTATGGGGACGTGCCATTATTCAGGGGTACATTTTTCCTGAAATGTGCGGAACTATCGGTACTAATTTTTGAAATTTGTGCGGAACTATGGGTACAATTTGAAGAAAAATGCAGAATTATGGGTACAATTTGAAGAAAAATGCAGAATTATGGGTACAATTTTGTGGAAATATTGCAAAATTATTAGGAGGGAGATTCAGCATCAACAAAATGAATATCCAAAATGATTTTTCATGTGCTTTAAAAAATTTATTTGCTCTGCAGGATAATGGGTATAGTTTTCATCATGTTTGCGGAATTATGGATCACATTTTTTCAGACATTTGCGGAATTATTATTGTCCAAAATTTTAACCAAAATGGCACGTCCCGTCCAAAATTAGGCATAGTTCCCCCCCCCCCCCGAGGGCAGACACTATCATACACGTGAGCATATCAGCAAGATCCATACATTCAGCTAAAATTCGACAAGATTCAAATAAAAAGTGAATCCCAGGAATATCTCTTGTTTTTTTAATTCGTTTCACCCATTGCCCAACAATAAATAAGAAAAACAAAATTTAAAATTATCAAAAAATCTCTTACTTTCAGCGTTATCTTCAGAAGTATTTTCGTTCTCTGATCCTTCAAGTCCCGACGTTTCTGGTGCAGGCAATAGAGAAAAGGTTTTCTTTAATTTCTTCCTTTGCTTTTTTCTTTGCTTCGCAAACGCTAAAAGGTTCTCAGCTCTCCTAAGGATCGGAGATGGTGATCTTGAAGACACGTCACTGACCTCGCCATCATTGTCTTCTTTTGGGTCTGGTAGGCCGCTTTTATTGACGTCCGATGTTTCCAAATCGCCTGTCCATAAGTCATCTTCATGCACACCGACAGGGGGCGTAGGTGGAATAACCGAAATCTTTGTCTTTTGTCCCTGGGAATATGGGAAGAATTAAAGTTTAGTTTTAGAAGTTTAGTTTAGTTTTAGTTTAGTTACAATTAGAACCTTCCCATGCATAATAAGGACGGGGCAAGAATCGAGCAGCAGCCTATACATTAAGACCCGCGTTAAAGAAAAACATGGAAGAAAATTGCATTATTGCCTTCCAATTGCTTCTTTAGTTTATAATTGCTTCTTTAAGAAACGGAGCCTAACATTCTCGAATGTAGGACATAACTATTTAATGTGATAGCTCGACTCAAAAACGACGAGTCTTCACAAAAAATGAAAGATATAACAAATATTAACAGACTTACAGGCACGAAGATACAAACGACGGAAATATTATTGTTGATTGAAATCCAATTTGTCTAAGCTTGCACCCGGTCTTCAGTCTATAATTTTAGTCAGAGCAACTGTTCGAAGAGCTTATCAAAGTAGCACAGTCAATGAGTCTGGGTAAACAAAAAAGCGGGATTAAAAAAGGCAAAAAACTGTTAATAACAATAATTCAAACCTGGTCTCCTTGATAATCTTGGGAAACATCACTGGGTGAAATCGATGGATTATCGTTATCATTTTCGGTGACTTCATCCCCAGTTTCGTCTTTATCATCTACTACCCCGTCTACATCATCTGAAGTCCTTTTTCGAAATCTCCTACACAGTTTTCGTAGTTCAAGTGGACCCACAGCCTGCAAGCACAAAAGAAGCTCGCCGCTTAAAATCATAAGCACCAATCGTGTGACTTAAACGACAAAAAGATCGCAAAAAACCTTATGATCCAAAGAAGTAACTGTAAAAACAAATCTAAATTGCATTATTCTCATAGCCACAATCGGCCTCTACATACACTAAAAGAATAGCTTCTGGCTCCGGACAGCCTCCAGTACCAGTGTCCGGTAGTTATGATTAAGCGGACAGTGGAGGCAACAAGGACAATTTATGGTAAATAGATCTTACCTGGCCTAACAGTGCATTTTGCCAAACTCGGAACAAGGCAGTGTACGAATTATCTCTTGAGACAAAAGATGTGAAGAAATACTGAAACAAAGATAAAAAATGGGATATGAGGATAAGTAAGATCGCAAAGTAAAGCAATAATAAACGCTATACTCAGATCACTGGTCACATATACAAGCATAATTAAACAACATTGCATAAAGGGATTCAATGGGGTGAAACACATTGATTCTTGGACTTGAAAAATCACATCAAAATCAATGACGTAGACATTGAAGTAAATCCCGGCAAAGGAAAACTTTTAAAATCAAAGGGCAGCACACAGGCTGCATTTCTTTCAACACAAGTAATTTGTGTTATAGAGCAACTTGCTTGAAAAATTATAAGATTTTTATTTCAAAGAGCATTGTCCTCTGAGCCAACCTTAGTGCCAGATATCACCAACCAAACTCATCATCAAAATTATTCATGTAAGAATCTTCAACACTACAATTCCAATATACACCTTTTAAATTGACCTAAGAATAAATCTAGATCTTGAAAAAGTAGGTTTTCTCTGCGGTCATTTTCTTTACTTTGACACTTTTATATTCAACCTCTTGTAGCTAGTACTCTCACAGAAAAGCAATTTTTTTCAAATTATAAAAAATTCTTCTTTTTAAAAGAAGAATCAGGTTTTTGTTCGAAACTAGAAATTACGAATTATCAGGCAGTCAGATTTCCGGACTGATTGTACAAATATTGTTGTTGCCGAATGAAATCAGACTTACCCTGTCCCTACTTGTGCTTATTCTTATGGCGTTGGGTATTACTCTTGCAGTCTTCTCTTTTGTAATTGCAGTTATTTCATGCCAGTTAATTGTTTCCTAAAACGATATACAAAATTTCCACATTTTAGAATTGCTAACTTCTGTGCCAAGAACTGAAATATGTTTCTCAAGGATATGTGTCTCAAGCAAAGAATAAAGCTATCAAACAAATTGAAAAAAGGTCCTACGAATAAAACAACTTACTGTAAATTGAAAAAGGAAACATTTCATTTCTAACTATATCGTCCAAATTTAGTAATTTTAAAGCCATACACATTGAAAAAACCAAACATCACAAGCAGCAATGCTCCCTCCCATTTGGAATAATTTTGGTTTGTTATGAAATGACACTGGAGACTTTGAAGTGCGTTATTCGATTGACTGGTATGATATTTGGCCAAACTATCATCATTGTGTAACGTGTGCATGTGTGCATGTGATGTCATGTTCGAAGGCACATCTGTAGAATCATGAGTTTTCTAATGGTGTCATTAGGCAATGCTAGTTAATGACGTATTGCTTGTGCTCGTCATGTGATGACATGTCACGTTTATCAATAAATTGGAAAACCGTGATTGTTCGAAGATTAGAGAATTGGAATATGCACTAGAGACACGTCTGTTTCTGTTGTCCGTTCTGCCCAGTCATAACAAATTGGTGACAGAGGTAAAAGCAATGGCGAGTAGCATTTTGCCGGAAAAGTTTGATTCTGGTGATTTCCCGAATTGGCTTCGCCAATTTAATTGTTGTGCCTCCGCTAATGGCTGGACAGACGACCAAAAGTTGCAAAAGCTGCCGGCATTTTTGCGAGGGTTGGCGGCTACGTATTTTCATACATTATCCGATGATGAAAAAGATACGTTTGCACATTTAGCAACCAGTCTCCAGACTGCCTTGTGTCCTGCTGTCGGACGAGAAGGCTATTTTCGAGAATTTGAAGATCGTGTTTTGCGTAGTGGTGAGGATCCTAGTGTTTTTCTGTGGTCTCTTCAGGAATTGCTGAAAAAGGCGGATCCGACTTTGGAAAAAGCTGCCACTTCTGCCTTGTTATCCCGACAATTTATGAAGGGACTTCCCAATACCATTCGTTATAAACTTCTTGAACATAACCCGACCCCGAAGTTGGATGATATGCTCTCCTTTTCCAAACAGTTTCTGGCGATAAGTGACAATCATGGACCTCACCCTGGTTTGTTTGCAGCCACAGATGTCGTCCCTTCACCGACATCTATTGAGGGACGGCTGGACAAGCTAACAGCTGCAGTAGAGGAGCTGAAAATGAACAATAGTTTGTACGTAGCCACTGTTCAAAAAAAAGAACCGACCTCCCAATTTGCTGGACGTCAACAGCCAGTACGCCGTGTGACATGTTACTTTTGTTCTAAAGAGGGTCACATAGCAAGAAATTGCCCCCTAAAACGCACAAGCAGGGAACAAGGACCCATTGATGGTTCGTTCAAATGCCAGATGTGCAATGGCTCGGGACATATTGCTTCGCAATGTGCAAAACTGGGTTGTTGACAATCCGAATACTAAGGAAGGTAATCGTGTTGCTAATGTAAAAAATATTCCGAACCGATTTGTGTCGACTTTAAACTCCAAAGGGGTGGCCCAATAGAAGGCTGGGATGGTCACCCCGGATTATATATAATTGGAGACAGTACTGTTTGTAATAATCAACAGTCTATCCAGTCTCTTACCCAGCCCTTTGTTAAGTGTTTGTTAAATGGGTTGCAGGTCGAAGCTTTAATTGATACTGGATCTGCAAAGTCATTTTTGAGTAAATCTGCTTATGCTGCTATTGTAGAACAAAAGTTAAACAAGCTTGAGGGGGGAGATGTAGGAACTTTCAGCAGTACTGCCTCCGATCGGTGCATTTCCGTGACAGGTCAAGCCCTGCATATAACAGGAGTTTTTGAGGGTAGTGTTACTTTACATGACAGTAGTGTTTCTTACTTTCATCGATTTGTTGTTTGCGATAATATATTATCACCGTTGCAATGTATTTTGGGTTGGGATTTTATTCAAGCAAATCGATTGCAACTAGTTAATGATAGAAGAATTTATTATTTATCTGGTCCACATGGAAATTTACCCTTAACCCCTGTTTATGAAAACAGTAAAGGGTCTTCCGAAACTTTCTTTCAGTCATCTACTTTAGGCCCAGTACCTGTTAAATTAACTAGTGCTATAGTTGTGCCTCCAATGTCAGAACTTGTCATCAAGTGCAGTATTTCAAGAAGTTCCAAAAATTTGGTAGGTATGATAACATCGAATTGTGACCCATCCTCCCTTCCCACAGTCCATGTTGCTCATGTAGTTTGCTCTGCTAACAATCGTGTTGTACCTGTTCGACTTTTAAATAATCATACTAAAGAAGTTGAGCTTCAAGCAGGGCAAAAGATTGCTGAATTTTGCCCCCTTGTTAGTCAAGGAGTTGAACTGGGCACCTCGAGTTGTAGTGCTGCGACATTTAGTAATGGTGATAAGTCTCACGAAGAGCTCGCCGCAGCAATAAGTTCCTCTCTATTGCCTGAGCAAAAGGCTTCCATTCTGGATGTGCTATACCGGTATTCAGAGGTATTTGAGGATACTTTAGGCCATTCTTCTGTTGTTACTCATTCTATTGACACGGGGAATGCAGCCCCTATTCGCCAGCACCCCCGACGTCTTCCATTTGCATACAGGGAAGATGCTCAACAGCAAATCGCGAATATGTTAAAACAAGGGGTTATTAAGCCAAGTACTAGTGCATGGGCATCCCCAATTGTTATGGTTAAGAAGAAAGACGGTAGTTATCGATTTTGTATTGACTATAGACGCCTTAATGCAGTCACTCAGCGAGATGCACGCCCTCTACCACGAGTCGATGACCTTTTAGACTCTCTTCAGGGTTATAAGTACTTTAGTACTTTAGATCTACGCTCAGGGTATTGGCAGCTTGATGTCAACCCGAAAGATAGGCATAAAACAGCTTTCGTTACTCCTCAAGGATTGTGGGAATTCGTTCGCCTCCCTTTTGGATTGTGTGGAGCTCCGTCAACGTTTGACCGAGCCATGAAAATTATAATGTCAGGGTTAAATTACGAAAGTTGTCTGTGTTATTTTGACGATATAATTATTCCGTCAATAGATATAAATCAACACTGCGAGCGTTTAGAATTGGTTTTAGAGAGACTACAAAAGGCAAACTTAAGAGTTAAAGCTTCTAAATGTCTTTTTGGTGCAGATAAGGTTGTTTATCTAGGTCATACTGTTTCTGCGGAGGGAATTCATACTGAACCGAGCAAAATTGAAGCAGTTCAAAAAATGTGCCCCCCAAATAATGTGGAACAAGTGAGATCCTTTCTTGGATTGGCTGGGTATTACAGAAAATTTATTCCCAATTTTGCAACTATTGCGGCCCCATTGACGAGTTTAACCAAAAAGGGTTGCAAATTTCAGTGGTTAACGGTTCATCAGCGATCTTTTGACTTATTAAAACGGCAGTTGTGTAATGCCCCAATACTTGTTTACCCTCAGTTAGATGCACCATTTATTTTACAGACAGATGCTTCAAATGTTGGGTTGGGAGCTGTATTAACCCAGAAAGATAGTTCTGGAGATGAGCGTGTTATTTCTTACGCTAGTCGTGCTTTGACTGAGAGGGAAAGAAATTATTCGGTTTTGGAGCAGGAAGCCTTAGCTGTTGTTTTTGCTACTCAACACTTTCGGGTGTATTTACTTGGCCAGAAATTTAAACTTGTTACCGATAATAATGCCCTAACCTGGCTACATAAAATTGAGCCTAAAGGTAGGATAGCACGCTGGATAATGGGTTTACAGGAGTTTGAATTTGAAATATCCCATAGGCCTGGGAGGGAAAATGCTAATGCTGATGCGCTGTCTCGGCTAGTTGATACAGAAGATAAGCATAGCGTGGAAGAAATGTCTGACAAGTATACTACTTGTTTTGTCAAGTTGACACCTGAGTTGAATTTGCACCAAGCTCAGTTAAATGACCCGGACATTGCTTTAGTTGTAGCTCTTAAGGAACAACGGCTACCTAAACCCCCTCTTTTTGTATGGAAGAAAAACGAAATTTTGCGCACTTTGTGGTATTGTTGGGATGAGTTATTTCTCTCAGACGGCTTGCTTGTTAGAGCTATTTCGACAGGTCAAAAAGTGCCCCGACGTGTGTTTGTCGTTCCACAATCTGTCGTAGGCCAAATTTTACATAGCCTTCATTCCGGGCCGTCTGGGGGTCATATGGGAATTACACGTACTTTATATCGTATTAAGCAACGCTTCTTTTGGCCAAAAATGCAAGAGTGCGTGAAAAACTATATCATATCTTGTTCAGAATGTATGCAAAGTAAACTGTTACCTAACCAAGGGAAAGCTCCACTTACGCCCATTTTGGTAGGTGAACCCTTCGTATTTTGGGCTATTGATTATATGGGCCCACTTCCAGAGACATCAAGGGGTAATAAACATTTGTTGGTTGTCGGAGATCATTTTACTAAATGGTGCGAAGCATTTGCAACTAAAGATCAAAAAGCACAAACGGTAGCTAGGCTTTTAGTCTCAAAGTTGTTTTCTCGTTTCGGTCCCCCCGACATATTGCATTCTGATCAGGGACAAAATTTCGAGAGCAACTAAATGCACGAAATTTGTCAAATTATGGGAATAAAGAAATCCCGTACGACTGCATATCATCCACAAGGGGATGGGCAAGTGGAAAGGCAAAATAGGACATTGCAGGAAATTTTGTCTTCTTTCGTGAGTGAACATCCTGAAAATTGGGACTTGTATGTTGATCAGGCTGTTTATGCGTATAATACCAGCCGGCATGAAACAACCGGGTATTCCCCCTATGAATTAGTTTTCGGACGAGAACCAAGGATGCCCATAGAGGTGGATTTAGGAGTGCCTTTGCAAAATCCCCGGAGTCATTCAGAGTATGCTCGTGAGGTTAGACAAGCCATAAGGAACTCTACTGAGATAGCACAGAAAAATTTATATGCAGCTAAGAAAAGGCAGGCTCTGTATGCTGATCGGAGAAGTAAAGAGTGGAAGCCCTTTGAATTAGGGTCATATGTGTGGTTGCGGCGACCAAAAAAGTGGAAATTTGGGAGGAAGTGGGTAGGCCCATATAAGGTTCTTGTTAAAATGGGTGTTAATTATAAGGTGGAGTCGCAGCACGGAAAAGCCATGGTTGTTCATCATAATCAGTTGAAACCTTGTCCTTTGTCTTTTAATGATGAGGGTAAGGACATTTGTCCAGTTTCTGAAACACCAGATTGTGAAATTGTAGAGCAGGATACTGATGATGACATGGACGAAAACCCTGGGGAAATAAGAAATCAAGTTTAGGTACGCCCCCCAAGATTACGTCAGGTTGTTAATCCCCCTTTAAGGTATGGTGATTATGTTTCTCATTAGGCTTGCTCTTCATCGAGAGAGGGGAAGGTTTGTAACGTGTGCATGTGTGCATGTGATGTCATGTTCGAAGGCACATCTGTAGAATCATGAGTTTTCTAATGGTGTCATTAGGCAATGCTAGTTAATGACGTATTGCTTGTGCTCGTCATGTGATGACATGTCACGTTTATCAATAAATTGGAAAACCGTGATTGTTCGAAGATTAGAGAATCGGAATATGCACTAGAGACACGTCTGTTTCTGTTGTCCGTTCTGCCCGGTCATAACACATA